CAGCAGCAGTGGTGTCTGCAGCAGCAGCGGCGGTATCTGCAGCAGCAGTGGTGTTGGCAGCAGCAGCAGTGGTGGCGGCAGCAGCAGTGGAGGCTTGGGCATTGGTGGAGGACGTACGGGTAGCAACCATTTGTAACAGAAGAGTGGTACTCGAGTGGAGACTTCGGGGCTTCGTGGCAAATTGGGAACTGGCCCGAGCGGTCCAAGGGGGTAGACTCAAGTTCTACTGTGTTCGCACTCGCGGGTTCAAATCCCGCCGCTGACAAACACCTATCTTTTTGAAGAATCTTTAATTTCAAAGGCCCGAGCATTTCTTGAAAGGCGTCGGCATCTGGAGGTCGCGGTGCAGGACGATCGGCAACTTGATCTGGGCCTAAAAAACGGGGCGCCTCGGGAGCTGCAAAGAAGCGGGCAGCGGCAACGTTGGCAGGGACGTCTTCACTCATGCGCAGCACGTGGCCCAGCAGGCGCCACGGCTGGCGTACAACGATTTCGCTCAGCGGGACGCTGTTGCAGCTTTCTAGAGCCCAACGTCGGCGAGCGTGTTCGGGTGAAAGATGCCTAGAAGACGCCGACGTTGCGTTATGGACCTCTCTGGAGCGCCCCAAATACTTGAAACTTCCCGCGTATATAGCTGGAGGAGGTATATTTGCTGGGGCTTTATGAAATGACACGAATGTACTTTAACGTTACGTTGGCTAGGAGATTCCCATGGTAGATTCCTGTGTTTGCAAAGATCTTGGGTCGACCGAGGACACGACGTCGAATGGTCTATGAATAGGGAGGGACCTGTGCATACAGGTGCTGATGGATGCGTGGTTCTCGAGAGTGAGTGGTGGTGATCAACTATACAATGAGTCTTACTTGACTTTCTAATTTGACCAGTCGAGACGAGTGGACGAACGCTGGCCAACCAGCGTCGATTTCCGTGGCTACGGGAGGCCGGCGCCCCCGGGGGACGGCTCTTCTTCACGCCTGCCGCCCGCCTCCCCGAAGACAAGAAGATGAAGAAGCGTTCATGCGAAGACCCGCGACGTCAGGATGGCCGCGACCGTCGGCCGCTGCCATCGGAAGTCCCTGCCGCCCTTGCCTCCGCCCGCACGCTGTGCAGATGCGCTCCCTCGTCCTTGTCGT